TGTATGTAGCAGCACATATGATCCTTAAAGATAATTCTTACTCCTGATCTCTGGAAGCCATTCGGGGAGCAACTCTTTAAAAAGTAAAAAATAAAAACTATATATAGTTTCCCTTAAAATGCCTTTATCAATTATGTTATAAATGGAGTCAAAACTCTGCTCATTAAGCATAGATACCATGGGGCAGGAAAAAGTTAGCAGGCATGCACTCCTGTCTGTCTACCTCAACTACTGAAGTAAACATGGAAAAGAGACCGTTTACAAAAGAATAGTTCACTTGTAAGTATGGAAAAGGACCAAACATCATTTTATATAGTGATTTTAAGAAGACTTTGGAATCAAATTCCCTGGTCTGGATCTCACCCTTGCCATGTCCTTTGAGCCTCAACTATCAAGCTAAAATTCTAATAAGACTGCATAGGGTTAATGTGAATACTGAGTGAGATAGTATCTATTACTCAGTAATCAGCATACCTAGAATTCAGTAAAGATTCAAAAACTGTTATCTTAAAAGATAATCTATACTTCCTCATGGAAGATGCTTTTGCCAAAAAGTCGAACCTGAGTCTGATTAAGTCCTTAGCATTGACTAACATTCACAGGACAAAGGAACATGTAAAACTATACAAACGGAATAAAAATCAGCAGATCCGGACTGAGGAAACTCTGTAAGACCAACAACCAGTTTCTTCAACAAATAAACTGCCAAGAAAAAGAGATGGAGGGAAGCCTAAAAAGAGTTTAAACACTTTAAAGGCCACCAATCACAATGTGGACCTCATTTGGTTCGATCTTGACTCAAAACAGTTAAAAATTTAAAAATTAAAATATCTGAGTCAACTGGAAAGTTGATTCCCTATATTACTTAAGGAATTATTTATGTATGATATTACTGTAATGTCCAAAAGACCCCTTATCTTTAAAGAGACATATACTGAAATATTGACAAATGAAATCATGTATCTGGATATACTTCAAAACAACACATAAGGTATGGAATGAGCTGGGGTATAGATGAAATGAGATTGAGTTGATAACTGTAAATACATGAGGACACATTATAGTGTTATCTACTTTTACATGTGTTAAAAATTCTTAATAAAGTTTTTTAAAAAATAGGGAATGACATAAAATTGCAACCAACTCCATACAGAATTAAGATTCTATCCAGAAGAGTTAAGTAACAGCTCTCACCATTGTTTAGTGTTTAATATGTCCCAAGTACTAAGTTTTACATAATTTAATTCTAAATTAAGTTTTGACCTTCCTAAACCGATTCCTGAAACTGAAATTACTTTTACATGGTAATTTTTGATCAGCATTTTTGTAATAATTCCTATTATCATAGGAGTAATCTACTTTGGAAGCATGGGATTCACAAAAACCAGCTTACTAAAACTTGTAAGATCAAAGCAAATATCCCCTGACAGTTAATGAATAAATAAAATATGGTATAATCATATAGCAGATACCAAAGTAACAAAAATAATAATCACTACATGCAAAAACATGGGCACATTTCATAGATACTTTAAAGAAATAAACCAAACACAAACTCTCATGGCATGTTTTCATTCATGTGAAGCTCAAAAATTGGAAAACCAGTCTGTGGTACTAGAGTTCAGTATAGCAGTTACCTTTTGGGGTAGATATTAACTGGGGGGGTATCTATTAACTGGAAGGGATATAACATGGTGGGGGGTGAGGTTCTATATCTTCATCTGGGTAGTGATAATATGGGTGTGTGAATATATGTGTGTGTGTGTGTGTGTGTGTGTATATATATGTAAAATTTCAGCAACCTATACACTTAAGATTTGGGTACTTTCCTGTATATAAATTATACCTCAGGAAAAAAAAAGTCAAAAAAAGAAAAAATATATTTATCTGAACTATACCCTTAACAACCAAATCAGCATTAGAAAGGGAAAAGTATAAAATACTTAAAAGTATACACATATATTCTGCAGGGAAAAGTCATCCTCTCTCCCACCATTACCACCTACTCTGTCTCTCATTACAGATTTTCATCTCCTCTTGTATAACTCCCTACTTTTACAAATGAAATGATTTTTTTAAAATACTGACATAACAGACCTAACAGTTCTCACATAAATTTTTATGATTATTTCATTTATAGCTTTTTGAGAATGACTTTTACAAGTAATAAATATTCCACTTACAAATTATTAAGTTCACCAACAATACTTGAATTTCTGCGGTATTCCTCATATATGGCATTCATAGTGAATGTCATAAGTGATATCCTTGTAAGTTCAAAATGTTTCCTACATTATGAATTCAAGAATTAGCAATTTTAGTGACCCTCTCATATAAACTATAGTAAATGATCAATTCCAACACACAAGGGAATTTTATTCTAGAAAAATGTTTAGTTCACCTCTTAAGTTTACAAAAGAAAACTAACTTCTTTCCTCCTGTACTTTGAAAATCTATTTTCAAAATACAAGTAGCCGCTCAAAACAAAACAACACCTGTGTAAGAAGCTATTTACTTCACAATATGAGACCTAAAAATCAGAATTTCCCCTATAATTTGGAAATGTTTGGTAAACACCTCAGAATAGTCTTAGTTTTAAGAAATTAAATACTGAAGTTTTCATTTTTGTCCAACAGAAACGAGCTCACATTTAACCTTGTATTATTACTTTACTAACTACTCAAAATGAGAACAGTCATCTATTTCTAAATCATGAAGTAAAATATTTGTATTTAGCTCCTTTAGTGAACTTCACCCTTACATAAATTGACTCAGGTCAATAAAGAGGACATACAAAGTCAGTATAAGCCACTACTCATCTCCTACCTTCTTCAGCTAGCATTCCACATTTGCAGACAGATATGGTTAATGAAATAAATTCAAAACTACCCCATTGTGACTTCTCCTTGTTTACTTTCATTCTCCTAGGAAAAGCATGACCCACCACTAAATCAGTGCAAGTAGAGGCATGCTATCCCAAAAATCAGACGTTTAATGTCATTTTTAATTAACAGAGTAAGATTACTTATACCAGAAATTCTGTATTAGTAATGATATTTCAGCTTAGAGGCCATTAACTAGGTGTATAACCTCACTCAGGCCCTCATAACCTTCCTGTGGCTTCAGGGTCTCCCCCAGAAAAAAGGAAATTGTTATTACTTCAGAGACTGCAAATACATGACACATGCGACGGCTGCTACTCCCCCTCTGAACAACCACTACTAACTGATCAGAGATGGATTCAGAAATGGCACCTGGAGGTGAAATTTATCTGTTATTCCTAGGCAAGTGATCTATACTTCCTTTCCCTTTGAACATTCGGTCTGTGACCCACAAATACCTTTGCACTGAACAGCTCAGACACACATACATAATATACATAATACACACACACACAATATACATAAGCTAACTTAAGGAGTTAGAACCTCAATTATTATATTTAAATGTACATTCTTTTTTTAAAAGAATATGCCACTCTTTATTCATTTCTCTATTTCAGATGTAAAAGCGAGAAATAATCAAATCTAAATGGATGAAATACTGTATCTTTCTCAATTTGCTAAACATGCAAAATAGTGTTGTTTAATATGAACTACATTCTTGTTACTGAGGCATACCCGACCATGCCTGAGGAGATTCCTGTGAAAAGAATTTACTGAAAAGCTTCCTGGAAAATCAACTAGGAATGTTTACCTTGTTACTTACCTTAAGGCAGATGCACACCCAGTTACAGACTGATATAGAACTCGTAAAGGTTGAGCACCCTGACATGTGTTTAGGCAATTACATAATTCTGTCAAAGTGTTATTTCTAGCATTTTCATGTAGTTTCTGAATGTCAAACGCCCCCTGTAAAGAAAGTTCTTCCTCCTAAGTGCTCCACTCCAAATTTCCAATTCCTCCTTCTTCGTCCCTATCAAATTCTCACTCCCTCAAACCAACTTTCAACTGTTAGAAAAACATTCTGATTCAAGTGAAATTATTTCTTGCTTTTTTTCAGGGGAGAAAGCCAAAATCAGGGAGGAAGAGGGAAATAACAATTGTCTGGCACCATTAAAAAGTGACAATCTGTGGAGAAAGGGAGATTCATTGGTCAAAACAGAAAATAAGTGCTCAGTATAGGCCAATTAATGTGTTCGGTGAGGGAGATAGGGTAATTAAGACAAGACCCACTCCTGGCAGAGATTAAACTGGCCAGGAAAAATAACTAAAGCAGTATCAATGAAACAAATTATTTGTGCCATGAGAGTTGGATATAACATAGTCTTAAAAATCAGAGAAGGCACCTGGCTGGCTCAGTCATAGAGCATGTGACTCTTGATCTCAGGGTTGTGAGTTCAAGCCCCAATATTGGGCATAGAGCCTACTTAAAAAAAAAAAAAAAATCAGGGAAGGCCTGCTATGCCAAGATTAGCCAAGGATACAGGAACATATGAGAAATAACATGAAACACTTGAGGAACTGCAAAAACTCTAGTATACCTGACACAGAGAAGCAAGATATGAAGCTCAGACATCAACTGAAGGCCTTGGAAGCCACTCTAAGGAACTGGACTTTATTTCAAGATGCAATAGTGACTGAAGCTGACTTATGTGAAGAGCATAGGTGCACTTTTACAAAAGTCTCTATCAGCCTACTTCATGCATTGTTGGAAAGGTGATCAAGAAGGGGGAGGTGTGAAGAAATAACGGGAGAGATGAACAGTACAACAAAGACTTCAGAGTATACTTAGGACATCGCAGGTTAGAGCTACAATGCCTCTAACATAGATGCTCAGTCATATGCATCCTTATGTACTATATGCAAAAAGCAATTATGGAGAGGAGGAAGAATCAAGAACTCAAACTTAGATTACTGTCTTAACTGAGAAGTCTCAGCAAGAACTGCGTTTTTGTAAAATTAAAGACACAGCTCTCACTGTTTTTTGTCTATTATTTTTAAACAAGGTTGGATGGTTGGTTGTTTTTAACTGGGTTCAATTTAAAAGACACTATTCACCTTGTTATACATATATCTAAGCATGAAGTCCAGGAGAAATGATTTCCCTTTACGAAAAGCTCCTGCCACGGATACCACTACTATGTTAAGATCTCGTATGTGCTCCTGTAGCAATATCTGCTCCAAAGCTTCTTCATCGAGCTCAAAGTTATGGTCATCTTCATGAGCAAGAACAATCTGTACTGGACATGGTTTCTTCATAACCTCATCAGAGTTTACTAGGTCATCATCTTCATAATTCTCACCTAGAAGTAAAACAAGAGAAAGAGGTTACTTGAATACCTGCATTACAAACTTCTCCTAAAGGACCACAAATAAAACAAAATTCCAAGTAAATTCCCCCTTATTCCAGATCATCTGAAAATAGTTACAAAAAGTGATGTTCAAGCACATATTGGATTTCTCACTCCCTCTATAACTGGACCAAGAGTATTGCTAAGATTTCCCACTATATATACAGATAAGCAGCAATACGAGTACAGCCTCTACTATTAAGTCGTAACAGCTAAATGTGAACAGTAGCTGTTTCTTGAGTACTGCATCATTCTATAAACAACTTCTGCTACTGTATGCACACAGAAACTGGATCTGTGCAAAAGGGGCTTGGGGGGGGGTCAATTTTGCCCAATAACTCAGAATCCAATTTTTCCCTGTGGGCATCACCTAGAAATTACTCTAAGTTACAACGGTTAAAACAGGAATTGTAAACATTGTAAACATTGTTCACTGTGAAACTTAAACAGCTAAGCTAACGACCTAAGACGTTTCTAAAACTGACACTTATGGTAAAGCTAAGGAGCCTCCTAATTTAGTAAGAGTAACCTAAGAGTACTCTTCCCTTATTAAAGCAAAGCACAGGATCAATATTTTAGTAGAAAACACAAGAAGAGTCAGTGAGGTGCAGAGTTATATCCTATAGTTACACTGGCCTCCGGGCTCTTTTTCAAAGACCACAGCCACCACTTCAAAAATCACATAACTCCCCCAAAACAGCTATATAAACTCCTCCTTTGTTTACCCAACACACTAAATGAAGGTATAACCTTTGCTGAAGAACTTTACTCAACAGTAATGAGTAACTATAAAACATGAAACAGCAGAGACAAGTTTCTAAAGTGTAGGCTTCTGTTCTTTTAAAAACAAAACAAACAAAAACACCTAATAGCTAGTTTCAGAGTCTATATCCCTTGTCTGGCTTTCTTCCCTATCAACTGCCTGATTCCAGGTAGTTAGTAACAACTTACTCCTGGGGACCTTATTTATTATCCTTTCCCACATCAACATTTTTAAAAGACTCTCCCCCTTGAACCTGTCTACTAAATGCCCCTTTCCAATCTATGGAGACATACATACTGTATCTATTGTGTCCCTTCTCTCCCAGGAGACAGTCTACTGAGGAGTGGCCCATTATTAGCCAACACTGCAAGAACACCTTATCCAATTAACCACTATTCTTAAAGACTATCTATCTACATTAATGGACTTTTTTTCTCCTTACATAAAGAAATATCTAGCTTATTTGATTTACAAAAGCTAAGAGCCTTTACTTCCACATCCCAAGGCACCTTTAACTGTACACAACAAAAACAGCAACACTATTTCAAAATGTGCTGCAGTGACACTATAAAGAGCAAGCAATTTCAAAGGAGAATCTGTGAAAGCAAAAGCAATCAATATTTAATTAAAGGGGATATTATCACTTCCAGTTTCAATGGTACACAAATATAGAGTGGTACCTAACTGGTCTCCCTTTTTGCCCCCTCCTCTAATCCAATCTAAATTCCACAAAGTAGCAACTAAATAATATAAGTAAATACGAGTGTGATTAAATTACTCTCCTTAAAATCAGTTATGGAGGATTAACAACTAAAATCCTACACATGTCATAAAATCCTGCACTCATTGCCAAATCTCTCCTGCCTTATTTGGTGCTACTCTCGCCTAGGTAAACTACAAACAGACAAGCTAGCCTTTTTTCAGATCCTTATGTTATTAAAGCTCTTTCTAAACACATATTTCACTCATGATATTCCTTTGTCTGGAATATTCTTTTCCACGTCATTGCCCTAATCAATTCATGCTTATTCCTTAGGTCTCAGTTTAAACATCATTTCCTCAGGAATATCTTTGCTGAGGCTCCTAACCAAGTTTAGTCCTCCTATACTCCCCCAATCTGAATCCACCCATCATTTGAATATTTATGTAAGTAGTTATTTATTTTATGTCTCCCCCTCTAGACTATCAATCCTCTGTTTAAAACCCTCAATTAGGGGTGCCTGGGTGGCTCAGTCATTAAGCGTCTGCCTTCGGCTCAGGTCATGATCCCAGGGTCCTGGGATCGAGCCCCACATCGGGCTCCCTGCTTGGTGGGAAGCCTGCTTCTCCCTCTCCCACTCCCCCTGCTTGTGCTCCTGCTCTCACTCTCTGTCAAATAAATAAATAAAATCTTTTAAAAAAATAATAAAATAAAACCCTCAATTAGCTTTCCACTGTAACCAGAAAATAGAAAAAACAAAACAAACTCTAAGTTCTATACCATGACCTCCACAGTCCTGTGTGTTCTGGCTTCTACAGTCTAGTCCTCTAGCTGTTCCTTGAACAGGCCAAACCTGTTTCCCACCTTAGAATCTTTGTCCTGTTTTCCCGTCTGGAATGCTCTGTCCCTAGAAATTCATGTGGCTTAATTCTCCATCATCTAGATCTCAGCTGAAATATTATCTCTTAAGTGTGGACTTCCTTGACCACTCAGTCTAAATTACAGACCCCTCCGCATCACTTGAACAAAACAGGTTTTTTTTTCCCCACAGTCCTTTTCAGTATCTAAAATAATGCTTTATTTGTTTACATGTCTACCTTAAACCTCTCCCTCCATAGAATATATGTACCTCAAAAATAAGGATCCCACTGCCTTCCACCCAGGTCATGATATCAGGGTCCTGGGATCGAGTCCCACATCAGCCCGCTTCTCCCTCTGCCTGCCACACCCCCTGCTTGTGTGCTCCCTGTCTCTGACAAATAAATAAATAAAATCTTAAAAAAAAATAAAATAAGGATCCCAATCACCCTGTTGACCACTCTTGTCTCCCAGCACCCAGAACAGTGCTTGGCACCTAGCAGGTGCTTAATAAATATTTCTTGATTGGATGAAATTTACACATATTACTCAGGAGTTTTATACCTGCCCCTATGTATTTTATGAGCAAATTTGACAATCACATAATCAGTTTGGGAAAATACTTCCAGCAACTCAGGAGTAGTGTGTGTGTGTGTGTGTATTTTTTTTAAAGTATGAAGTTCTACCAAGTAATACACTAATTAATAAGAATCCAAAATGAATAAAGTATGCTAAAATATCACAATGACCAAATTTGGATTGCTGATTTTGTTAAAATCAACAAATAGTCTTGTTCCTACTGTAAAGAAAGCAACAATTTCTGAAAAATAAAACAGGGGGCACCTGGGTGGCTCAATTGGTTAAGTGTCTGCCTTTGTTTGGCTCAGGTCATGATCCCAGGTGGGCTTCCTGCTCAGCGGGCAGTCTGCTTCTCCCTCTGCCTGCCACTCCCCCTGCTTGTGCTCCCTCCCTCCCTCTCTCTCAAATAAATAAAATCTTTAAAAAATAATAATAATAGGGGTGCTTGGGTGGCTTGGTCGTTAAGCATCTGCCTACCGCTCAAGTCATGATCCCAGGGTCCTGGGACTGAGCCCCACATCAGACTCCCTGCTCCGCGGGAAGCCTGCTTCTCCCTCTCCCACTCCCCCTGCTTGTGTTCCCTCTCTCGCTGTGTCTCTCTGTCAAATGAGTATAATCTTAAAAATAAATAAATAAATAAATAAATAAATAAATAAATAAATAAATAAATAAATAAAACAGACAAACCACTTGGCAGGAAATTTTTATTAGCTTGAAATTTCACCTAGATCAGTTGACTACAGTTACCACTTAGCCAGTTTTCTTTGATTAGCATGGATAAAGATAGGAACCTCAGATATACAGGCAGCAGATGTCTACCTACTGTCACCATTTCTAGTCTACAGACTTCTAAGGTGAAGTGCAACAAACATGTTTCAAAGGTATAATGGAGCACAATGACATGGTTCACTAAGTTTACTCCCCCATCATGACTTCTCTACCAAATTTGTAGGAACTACAGATAAAGTACTTCATTCATCAAATACTGATATAAGCAACTGAGTAATTATAATGTACATTTCATTAGACTACTTGTAAACATTAACATACAGTGATTACCTAGATTGGAAATCTTTTTAAATTTAGCATTACTTTGAGATTTTAAACTGAAGTTAAATGCTTGCAGAGAATAGTGATTTTAATTCTATTTCCATTTCTCAGTGTCAAAAAATGACTGAAGGTGACTTCAGACCCCCAATAAATTTTCCTGATTCACTGTTCCAAGCCAGTTCTTCCCCCACTCCAACTCCCAAATGGATCCTTCAAGGTCAAAGCTGAAAGATACCTACCTAGATAAGACCAACTGTTCCTCAAATATTTCCCCATGCCTTAAGGCTAAGTATACTCAACCTATTTGTCACAAGGCCTACAAAAAGACATTTGTCTTAGTAAAAACAATCAGTAGTTGCCACTGGTTGAGGGGGCAGGACACATGACCACGTGGAGCATGAGGATTTTTAGGGCAGCTGAACTATTCTCTCTTAAGGCAGACATATGGTATTACACATTTGTCAAAACGCACAGAATATGCAACCCCGAAAGTGAAGCCTAATGTAATCTGTGGGCTTTGAGTAATAATGAGAAGTCAATGAAGACTGTAACAACTGTACCACTTTGGTCTGGAGCAGGGAGGCTGTTGATGTGTGGGGACTGGGGTACATGTGTACTCTGTATTTTCCACTCAATTTTGTGGTGAACCTAAAATTCCTCTAAAAAAGGAAATCTACAAAAAAAGACACTTGTCTTTTTTATTGCTCTTTAAACATACCTTATCTTAAATCTGCCAAATTCATACATTCAGTATATATTCCAATGGCAAAATTTACACTTCAGGACTGACCTAGATCCGTCTGCCAGCTTCCAGCATAATTATAAGCTAAAGCAATAAAAAGATGCTACAAATCTGCATTACAATAAAATGTTACTAATGTTAGATTATTTCAACCCCAAACTTGTAGAAAGAGAACCAAGTAAAGAGTAATTCACTTTTCAAAAGCAATGAAAGTATATTTTAAGTTATTATTCACATTCCAACTAAAAATGTAAAACAAT